TAACCTTGCAAAAGAAGAGTGCGGAAAATAGGCACACAAAAAAAGAACTCTTGAATTCAAAGTGATTCTATCTTATAAAGCCTAAGCTGACCGAGTAATTAAGCCTAAGGAGTATTTCCATACTTAATGACCCAAGCCCAATTGGGTTGGGATCTATTGATGTAAAACTCGTTAAATGGTCACTTAGAAAGCTCGTTAAAGTAGAAAAAAAATCACCAAGGAAGAAAGAGTTAAAAAAATTACTAACAAATGTTATATATATATATATAGTTATATTTGTATATATGGTCTTGAAAAATATTTTTGATCAAGAGACTTGAAAATTATTTAAAACAAAGAGTTAGGATGTTCTTTTCAAAACTTTTAATTAAATTTCTAAGTTTGACTTGGTTTTGTATTGCTATAATGAGAATATTTTCTCAAAAATTCACTTTGGAGTTATATATAAAAACATTTTCTTGGGTAATAACTAGCTTCAATTAAATTGTCTAAATTTATCAAGTAAATTTAGTTATTTACTGACCTCTTTAATTTGACAAGTTGACAGAATTTTGTGGGTATATTCACTGTAAACCCTTACGAGACTACAACTCGTCCACTAGGGTAACCTAGAGGTTTAAAGGCTTGTTGTATGCGCTAAATACAACGATTCATACGAAAGTGAATTAGGATTTTTCTCTTTGCTAGAGGACTAGAAAAAGTTTAGGTGTGGTGGTATTTGATAATCACATTTTTATTATAATTTTATACCCTCATTATCTATTTTTTCATGAATAAATATATCACTAATAATTTTTTTATCTTTAATTACAAGATAATCAAGAATAAAACCCAAGATCTCTTCTCTCAACAAAAGCCCAATGAATGAATAAAGAATACAATCAAAAACCCAAAAGCCAAAGCCCTAAAGCCATTGCAAGAGGAAAATTCGGCTAACAATTGAAGAATATTGCGCATCGATGCCAGCATCGATGTCAAACAGTCTATTACAATCTAATGGCTGAAAATCAAGGATTTTGGATAAGAATTCGATCCAAAGACTCACATTCATTGATGTTTACTATAAATAGAGGTAGAGAGTGAGGGGTTAAGGGTGTGAAAAATTTTGTATCTCCATTTGGAGATGAGGGTTACTCTTAATTGAGAATATCTTCCAAATTTATAACTTTTTATTATAATTAATAAAATATTTTTTTACCACTTCATATTTTTCTTCTCTTTGTTGATGATGAAGATGAAGATGAAGATCAATTTGGAGGTTTATTTTTTATTTTCTCTTTTATTTCTTTTCTTATTGCTTAGTAGTTTAGATTTACATTAATGTCTTGTAGTGTAGATTTACTTTCATGTCTTTATCTTCCCGTATTTAATTCTTACAATTTATTTTGTAGCTTAGTTCTTGCAATTTATTTTGTAGCTTAGTTATTGCAATTTATTTTGTAGCTTAGTTTTTGTAATTTATTTTTGTAGTTTAGATTTTATTTTCTTACAATATTCGCCTTGATGCTAGAACCCTCTTGGGATTAGTTTTTCTTTTTGTTTATTTTCTATTTTATTTGATTCGCCTTGAGGCTAGAACCCTCTAGGAAATTGCCCTTTTCTTAGATATGTAATTAATTCTTATTGGAACTCTAGAAATTGCATGAAACTAGCTTTATTTCTCTTATGATTTGTTAATCATTCTCTCATGCTTAAAATGTTCATGCTTAGGATATTCAACTAAAGAACTAATTGGTAGAAGGAATTCTAGAATTACTATTTAGTTGTTATTCTTTTCATGAGTAATAATTTTACTTGGATAATAATTTGATAGGTTATACTTCGCTTGAGTGGTTTGATAATCTATACTTAGTAAATCTAAAGTGGAATGTGGAAAGGAGAATGATTCATATCTTATAAGTGAGATTAGCTAGTGGATTCCATTCTAGATTCCTCATATCTTTAATTGAATCCTCCATCTTGAATGATTCATATCTTATAAGTGAGATTAGCTAGTGGATTCCATTCTAGATTCCTCATATCTTTAATTGAATCCTCCATCTTGACTTTCTTGAATTTTCTTTTCATTCTTGATTTTTCTCTTATTTGTTTCTTGATTTTATTTATTTTTCTTTCTTGCCTTGTTGATTACATTTATTCTTTATCACATCCACTCTCAATCACCTTTTATGCTTATTTACACATAATCACTCTCACTCTCTCTATCTCTCCACAATCATACTCCATTCATCACTTATCTTAGGAGTTTTTGAAACTGATTTGGGGAGCTTAACAGGTTTATAAATTAAAGCGGTTAATGAGTTTGGGTTTGCATAAGAGGAGTATAAATGACAAATCATCAAAAAAGTTTAAGTGGAGATATTCCCCTATTTTCAATTAAATTTTAGCTATGTTGGACTCATTATAGTATAATAACAAGATTTGAGGGGCCTGAGATTAATTTAAAGATTGGAGGGGTAATATCAAGATATTGATGATTTTAGGGGGTTTGAGATCAATTTTAAAAATTTGGGAGGCTATGTAAAACCCCGTAAAATTTAGATAATATGTGATAATTTGAGATAATTTGTGATTTATTATGATAAGTGAATTTTTATCATGATAAATATCATTAAATGATGTATGAGTAAGATAACAAGTGTTTTGAGTGCAAACAAGTTCATATATGTGAGAGAAATGAGTCGAAACATGCACAACCAAAACATGCACTGTCTGAAAATGTACGGGTCGGTCGACCGACGCGGGGAAATCTAGTTTTCCCAATTGTGGGTGGATTCGGATCTTTTGAGGCCCAGTTGAACACAGATGTTATAAATACCTCTTGTTCACAAAATTTTACAAATTTTATCAGATCTTTCAAACCCTAGCAGACACCTTCTCCTCCCCTAAACCCTAAATCAAATTTTTGAGTTTTCAAGTGCCTTGTGAGGCAAATTTTGACGTGAAAGCGAGGTTTGTTTGGTTTGTGGCTAAGAGATCTGACTTTGGTTTGCACCTCCAGACTTTTCAACAAGTTTTCAGGCGAGTTTCATCTCTGCTAACCCTACACCCATGTTTTTAAATTATTTTAAAGAGTTTTGATTTTGATTTCTTGAGCCTACATCCTATTTTGTGTATAAGAAAGTAGTATATGATTAAAAGATTTCTTTTATTTGGTAAAAACCAAGGTAATTTTTTTATGGTTGATGGATATTTTAGTCTTTCCAAGTCAAGTAATTATCAGATAATAGATAAGACTCAATGGTATTAATTTTGAGAGGTTAGGTTTAAGTGAAAAATATTCACAGGGGTTAAATCAAAATTTTAAAGGTTGAGATAGATTATCTACAAAACACCCAAAACTTGACGGAGATTTACTCAGTTTTAAATAGCTTGTGGGGGAGAGGGGTGGAGTGGGTTGGCATGCCTCCAATAGTTAAGGGGGAGTTTTCTAAAATTAGCCCTTAAACAAAAGCACAACTTAAGATACATGTGACATCAATTTTATACGAGTGGAGTTCATAGCAAGTCTATCACTCAATGAACTGGTTCGGGTTGTGACATCAATTTTATACGAGTGGAGTTCATAGCAAGTCTATCACTCAATGAACTGGTTCGGGTTATTTGTCCTTAAATTTATCCTACATGTGGAGTTCATAGCAAGTCTATCACTCAATGAACTGGTTCGGGTTATTTGTCCTTAAATTTATCCTACATATCAACTTTGAAAATCTTTTACTATAAGAATCTCTAAGAGAAATTTAATATATATTTGGGATGGGTATGTGATCCTTTTGGTTCCCCTTATCTTTCATGATTTTTAATAAATTATTTGACAAAATAAATTAAGTTGACATTTTATATTACTCCCGTTCTTATAAGTTTATGAAGCTTATAGCTTGGATATGAATATTGTTGCACATATTGTATTCTTCTAACTTCTTAAGCTAAAATTTTGGATGTTGTTTGACATTGGATAGATATGAACTATTTTATTAAAATACAATCAATATGAGTGCATAATATGTATAAATCATTCTCAGACTATATTATATAATTTTCTTAAACTAGAGAGTAATCGTTTTGACAAGTCAATTAGTAGTTGGGAAGATATAAAAAGAGTACAACATCATATTTTGGAATTAATCACATAATTTATATTTTCTTTTTTGATTGAATTTGCACATTCTATTTAGAAAATTCTAGAACAAAGTTTTTGAATATCTATAATACTCGGTCGCCAGATAAACAACAATGGAAGTAAACCACAAATGGAAGTGATTTTTTTATAACTGAACAAAATCCTTGATGACTAGATAAAACCTACTATTTTCCTTTGATGAATTCAAGAATTTATATTTTTATTAATAATAACAGTTTTCTTAGTATCGGTCCCTTACATTATTAATATTTTAAAATTATACATTCAAATTACTAATTAATCTTAAATTATTAATATTTTAAGACTTTAAGCGTAACTATTTCTCTGGAAGACAAAATGTTAAAACGACACATGAAAATATCCAAAAAAATTATATATTATGATAATTATGAAGTTTTTTCAACCATATTATAATAAATAAATAAACTTAAAGTAAAAAATTGAAATAGTTACCTACGTGCAATGCACGTGCATTCCACCTAGTATATATAAAGGAGTAAGTTAAAGCTTTACAAAATTAGGATAGATTAGAAGTAACAGTAGTACTAAGGGGTAGGGAGAGGACATTGTCATCACCAACCCAATACTACTACTTCACTTCCGATCCTCCCTAAGTTCTAAAACCAAGTGTTTCTTAGCTGAACTTTCAGCTATATTAAACGTAAAGAACCAACAAAAGACAGTATAATACATTGAGAGAAGTGACAAAGCTGAGAACTTTAGATGATAGTTAGCTTTGGATAGGAACTGAGTGATTATAATCTAGAATCATCCATTAGTTTTTTGCTATGAAATTATCACCCACCGCATCGTCTGCCCCTCCTTTAGCCAGTTCCATCAAGCCCAGCTCTAACGCTGCCTTGTGCAACCTGGTAGCTTTTCTGCCGCATGAAGATCCTGTCCAGAATAAGGTAAATTGAGCAACATTAGATGCTATTATTTGAGAGGTAACTGGGGCTTCATTGAAGATGAGGTTGTTACGACGGTTCCATGTACACGAGCAAAAGCATGGAAGGATAACCTCCAAAGTGCTCTGAGATTGCTACTGACCAAGAAATTATCCTTGACTATAATCAATGAATCCATATCCTGTGGCCAGTTATCTAGAGTTTCTTGAGGGAGAAGAATGGACCATGTGTTTCTAGTAAATGGGCAGGAAATGAATAAATGATCATGGGTCTCGATATCCAGGTTAAGGTATTCTTCTGGACCCTTTTTTAGACAAATGAAGTTGTAGAGATGAATACCTTAACCTTCAGCGGGACAGTGGATTTTCAAATGAAGTTGTAGAGATGAATGAATGTACCTCCATCGTTAAGGATAGAATAGAATGACTTGATAGAGAAGTTCCCTGATGGATGATATGGCCACTAGATACTATCTTGGACGGAGGCTCTTGTAGGCTTGATGAATTCAAGGTGAGTGAGGAGTGCTGTAATCTCAGATCTTTCCTCTGATGAAGTTCTTCTTCTTAGGATAGGATGCTACCTCCAAGAGTTATGAATCATGGTACCTTGAGACTGGGTAGAACATTTGCTGGAAAAAGCCAAACGATGTGCCATGGGGAAGTGGCTACAGAGAGAATTGACTCCTGACCATTTATCCACCTAGAATCTACAAGTATTTCCAGCACCTAGCTTCCATCTGACATGGCTAAGGAAAGTTTGGTGAATAGAGTGTAAGTCGTGGATCAGTTTAGAAGCAGAACCTTTGGGAGGATTTGAGATAGGGTGGTTGTTGTTGGTTGAGTACAAGGAGAAGATGACTTTACTGATGTATGAGTCTCTATCGAGGATTTTCCAAATCCATTTGGATAGAAGAGCTTGATTGAAACATTGCATGTTGATGATGCCTAAACCACCTTCTTGTTTTGCTTTACAAATGTTACCCTATTTAACAAGGCATTTGGATTTAGAGGACTGCTGGTAACCAACCCATAGGAAGTTTCTCCTGATTTTGTCTATGGCCTTGGTGAGCCAAATTGGTAATTTGAAGAAAGACATATAGTATAAAGGGAGGGAGGATAGGACGGAGTTGAGTATAGGAGATGTATAAAGCATATATAACTTTACCTGAACCATCAGTCTTGTCTTTAACACATCAAGAGGGGTAGTTATAGCTCCAGTTACAGCACCTGCAAACAAAGAGGCAATATAACGGAATTCTATACAACCAGAGAGTGCGCTTCTGGGTTCAACTTATACAAGAATTTAATTGTGTTAAAAAAAAGAGACAAATAACTGTCAATGATGATGTTAGGATCGATCCTATATTATTACTGATGGAAGTCTAAAGTTGACAAAGTACACCACATAGTAAAGAATGTCAAATGTTAGGCATGTAACTTTAATTTTACTTCTGACGGGGTATGAGCTAATCAGAACAATATATTTGCTAATCTTATGAAGAGAAGAATGATACATTGTTATTATGAATATATCTCTGTGATTACAGGTCAAACAAGCAGTCCATAATTCAAGTAGAAATTAAGTTTCCATCTTATAAAAGAACCTCTACTAGGTTCTAGACCATTAGATCAGAGAAGCTAAACCTAGGCTCACCACATCTCCACACAACATCAAAGGGGATCCCATGGTCCACCAAGATCAGGTAGGATGTTCATAGTCACCTTCTTAGGTATAACTAATTCATTGCCGTAACAGTATCGCAGTTGGAAAAGGATTACTGATTCAACCATTGCCGGTAGCCATAATTCATTTAGCTACAGTCCCAGATATTGTATAACGAAAACAAAGACTTCTGCATCTTTCAGATCAATAAATAAAATACAACAAATAATAGTCTTTAAACGTCACACTCAAATCTTTTTTTTTTGGGTTAAATTTCATTCAACTAGCTTCTTCTGATAAAAAAAACTGAGAAATTAACATACTGAAAACGTCCATGAGAACTTTAATCTCTAACGAAGTACTTCTTATGATGTATAGTTTCTTATGATTTATCAATTGATAAACTGAAATATAGTTTCTTTACTCCATGAGAAATTTAAATGTCTCGTGACCAATTGCTGAGAAGGTTGATTTTACAAGCTTCTGCACCATGCTCGAGTAAAGCTTTCAAAACCAACAAGGAAAGGTTTTAATAATGAGAAATTCTTTTTTTTCCCTCCCTTCTGCGAGAAAATAGAGTATTCTGAATTATGCAGGGATATCAAAATCATATTCAAGTAAACAAGCGAATGATACTTAAATGCAGTTATATTCATTGGCCCACTGGTTGAGGAAGTTATGGAGTTAGTGTGTAAATTCAGAAATGGTGGAGTTAGTCTGTAGTTATCCATGTTTTAAAAAGCGGAAGCGCAAGACGAAACATTAGACCCTTTAATGAAGCGAGGGGAAATTTTCAAAGCATGAGGCATAAGTGTCATGGGTTGAAGTATTTTAATTTTAAACTTGGTAAAAGTTATGAACACATAATATACAGTGGTATAATAATTTACAAATAGATACATTCATGTATTGATTAGTAAATAAAAATTAAATACGTGAAGTATAGACATGAATCATAACAAACAAAGCAATATGCATAACATATATATATATCTTATTTTCACTCACATGGTCATATTGAAGATACAAAGGGGTAATGTTAGTAAAAAATTCTTTTATATCCTCCTATCTTGTATAAAGTGCGTACTTCAAAAGAGACGCGCTTATGATGCGCGAATTACACACTTCAGTTATGGTTTAAGCAATGAGACCTAAGCTTCAAGAGTTAAATAGCTTCTCTCTTGAGTTTCGAAGCGTTTACTCTTCAAAAAGTTTCGAAGCAAGTTCAAAAAAAGCTTTTTCAAATTTTGGTAGTCAATCATAGCTTCCTATGATGGTGGTTATCAAGAATTTTACAGGAGTCCTAGTCTATAAATTAGTCTTTGTTTCTCTCCATCAGTAGCACACTCCAGAAAAAAGTTTATAGACTAAGGAATACTCTCCAGTTTATGATCTTATCCAATTAAGGAAAAAGGATTTGGTGATACTAATGGTAATTAAGAGGTAAGATTTAGTTTTGTGTTTATCAGTAAGCTCTATCATGATTAACAGCGAATACATGGAACTATGGTAGAAATAATGGAAGAGTAGTAAGCTTACTGCAATCTTATATCCTATTCGAAGCTGCTCGTATAGACAGAATTGGATTGCATCAAATGGAAGATCTCGCAGTAGAAAGAAACTATATCCCTACAAATTCAACAAAAATAACATGATTAAGTCTCAAACACCAGTGTTCAAACTTAGGAAAGGACACGATAGGGACCGAAATACGGTATTGCTATCATCTCTTTGATTGTGAAGGAACATGGGATATCTAACCAAATGGTGGAGAACAATAATGTTTATTGGAAAAGTCCTTACAGCATAAAGACCTTTGAACCCTTCCTTAGCTGCTATAAGGCGAACAGCATCAGGTGCAGAAGCAAATTGCCCTGTCTGCATTCTTTGCTTGACTACCTGGAAAATGGAGACGGTAGGTTTTAGACGTACCAGAACTTTATATTTATAATCTTCGGATGTACATACTTTATTTTTAACCTTTGGATGGACATACTTCATATATATAATCTTCGAATGGGCATAGAAATTTACCTCTGTGGGGACACGAATAAGTGAAGATGCAGCACCTCCAATGGCACCTGTTGCTATTGTTGGCCCAATAGTTGGCCCATTACTTGGAGGCCCAGTGTTTTCTTTTGGTTACCCGGTTTGCTTACGAGTCGTGCCCTAGCCCCTTTCGTGACCACTCGTTTGCCGGTTTGCTTACGAGTCGTGCCCTAGCCCCTTTCGTGACCACTCGTTTGCAATGGTACTCAGCCGCTCCCATTCCTCTTGTCCTGCATCGTAGCCCCTTGCCCATCTCGTCCTGCGCCGCTGCCGTTGAGTCCCATCCCCTGTAGGTTGGCTCCTACCTTCGCCTCCCCTCCTAGTGTCGGCTGCCCCCTTCCTTATATATGGCGAAGGGTTGGTAGTAGCTCGGTGTGGGAAAGAGCGTGGGTGTCGAGATCTTGAGCTCTGTGCTTTACCCCCTTTGTGCGATCCTCTTCCCTACCTGAGCTCTGTGCTCCTTCGAAGGCTATGTGCTTTCAACCCCTTTGTGCGATCCCTCCTGTGAGCTTTTTGCTCTCACCTCCTTTGTGCGAATCCCCTTTCCTCTTTGTGAGTGATTTAAGGCGAAGATCAGTGGGCTCCCCTTTGTGTTCTTGGTGGTGCACAGTTGAAGAAGAAGGACTGATTGAGCAGGCTTCTGAGCCAAACAACGATGACCTAAGATCATCAACAGCACCTGCAGTCTTAAGTTTTGGAACATGTAAGTAAGGAAGAAATATCCATTCAAGAGTACTTCAGTTGAATTGAGATTAAGAAGGTTGTCAGATAATCTGGTTTACACGTGTTAATTTTGCTTCAGTTGAATTGACATTAAGAAGGTTGTTAGATATCTGGTTTACACATGTAAATTTTATCCTGAACCACAACCTTAAGACCTCATTTAGAAAGCAATAGCTAAAAAAAGTGAAAGCATACTAAATTGCTTCAGAAAAGTTAAAAAATAGTTCATCCTTTCACGTTAAATCCATGGATGTACCATTGATTCAATATAACCTTTCAAACTCCTCACTTCCAAACAGCTACGCGGGAATTTATGTATTTTAGAAAAAAACCATGCCCAAAAATTTACAACCCGTTTTACTTCACCAACAAATGGAACTTTTTCCAATTAACATACCACGATAACTTACACCTCTTCCACTTTCCTCCAGACAAATTCCTCAAAAGCCTCCCTCCTCCCTTCTTACATTATTATTTGTGTGTGTGTATTTTTTTTTTTTTTTTTTTTTTGCTCATCTCGATTTAGAAGATCTATGCTTTATGTATCCTGACAGTTTACAGAAGGCTAAGAATGATAACTAACTTTACTTACATAGCTGCAATCAAAAATATTTTGTAGTCTAACTTTAAAAAATATGTTTTAGTTCCAAGTCAACAAGAAACAATACCCCACATACCAAATGGTATCCGCACAAAATTAAACGGCTTTTCATCTTCCATGGTGACTGATGCAAATGGCTTTGAAGATTCCACCTTGGAGTTTCGAAATTTACTCATATAAGCATCTACAAACAATAAAATTAAATTAAATTAAATTAAATTAAAAAAAAGTATGCTCAAAGAGAACTCAAAATATTAAAATAAAAAAAACCTAATTTGTCACATTTACATCCTAATTCTTCAGCCACTTAGAATAGTTGTGACCAGAAAATCTATAGTTCTGAGACATGATATCAATTGGGATTTATGGCAGTTGACTTGAAGAACAGATTTTAAACTAAATGACACAGTTCCCTTGATCAAAATTCTTTTCTCAACTTCAAACTAACATATTTGCCATAGCTATTTCCTCCAAGTAAACTAACATGGTCAAAGTCACAATAAAAAATAAAATTTGAACACAGTAATAAAGTTCCCTTCACCTTTTTTTCAACAACTTCCTCAACTTTTCATACTTCTTCATCAATAAACAAAACAAAATCTTCAAATTCCAGAATTCAAAATCAAAACCAAACTTAAAGTTGTATATACGGTTCGTAACCAAATTTTTTTTCAAACAATTAATTCAAACTCTTGCAGTTCTCCATAGTTCTTCATCTCTAAGCAAAATAAAATCAAAATCCAGAATTTTCAAAATAAAAACAAAAAATTTAAGCTTATTTACACAATTTCTTCACCAAAAAAACTATATTTTCAAAAAAAATCTTCAAACTTTCATATTCACCCTAGTTCTTCACATCTAAACAAAATAAAACCATCAAAATCCAAAAAATGTCTTGATGAAACTACACTTATTAATAAAATTTAAATCTCCACATCGATCACATTTCAGAAACCCTAGATTTTAACAGTAAGAATTTTTCAGAAATTACCTGATGAAACTGCAGGACTATTTCCGTTACCAATAGATAAAATTGGAAGACTCATTATTCTTTTTTACCTAAAAAAGAAAATAAATTAATTAACAAGAAATTATTGTAGAATAAAACTTGCATACGTAAATAAATAACTGCAGTTGGCCGTTGAAATCGAGTAAACATACCGCCTCGGTTTGGATTTGGACTCAACTAGAGTCTGAACCGGACGGAAATGCGATATGGATTCGGGCTCGGGTTGAGATTTTGTTCCACCTGATGAGCTGGGGACTGATTTCTGATCATATAAATAGGCTATGGGCTGTTTGTTTTGAGTATTTCAGCTTTCCACCCCCTCCCCGAGGCAAAAAACTCAAAACAAACAGCCCCTAAATAGCACTCACACGCGGATATGCCCCATGGTTTTACCTATTTTTCACTTATATATCCTAATGTGTGTTTAGTAGCAAGAAAATATCCTAAAGTTTTTAAAACTTGTACTTAAAATATACCTTAACATATTTTGGCGACACAAAAATATCCTAAGTTTTTACAGCGAGCACTTAAATACCCTACATTTTTTAAAATTTGCACATAAATATCCTCAGATATACAAACTTGAGGTTAGTTAAGTGCAAGTTTTAAAAACATTAGGTATTTAAATGTCATTTTAAAAATATAGGGGTATTTAAGTGTAAGTTTTAAAAACTTTAAGGTACATAAGTGCTGCCCAAAACAAGTGAGGATATATAAGTGTGCACATTTAAAAATTTTAGGGTATTTTCTTGCCATCAAATATAATAGGGTATATAAGTGCTATTTAGCCTAAGGGGTTGTTTGGTTGGACTAAAATACGGAGAAAAGCTTCAAAATGAAAACTGACGGAGGAAAATATGTCAGTTTCAGTACTTTGTGATGTTTGGTTGGCCTATAACGTGGAGAAAAGAGGGATGGAAAATTGTAGCCACGTGAGATTTGGAGAAAACACTGTTTCCATCCTAAAATGACCAAAATCGGTGGAAAGTGTATTAAAACCGAGCTCACAAAATGACAAATTCTAAATTTAATTCATCTATAATTTGAAGAACTTGTAGTAGATCCAAAACATAAGCAAGTAATAAAATTATTAAAAATTACAAATAGGACTTGAAGAAGCAATTGAAGCTCACAAAATAAAAAATTACAAATTTAATTCATCTATAAATTGAAAAATAAATTGAAGCATGTCCACAATTTCCCGCAGTAAATCTACCCGAAATCGATTCAAAGCTTCTTTTAGCCTATTTTTCTCTCTTCCATAGATTTTAAGAACATCGGTTTTAACCGTATTTCTTGACATGTATTTTAGATCCTCACAAAGATATGAGAAGATTGCTCGAATACCTTCATACTCAACAAATTGAAATGGCAAATCATGCATAATGATGGCCGAGACTAAGAGCCCCCTAAACTTATCCGGGTCAAAATTAAATCTTGAGGAACTCATTATAGAATCCTTTGAGTTAGATAGACCCTCAATATCCTCTCTCTCTCTCTCTCTAGTAGTCTTCTTACAAATTTTCATGTGTCTTAACATGTTCTTTGTCCCATAGTTACATTCGGCAATATATTTGATTCCACACTTCTTACATATTGAATATTGTTTCCCACATGGCTCTGTTTTAACAAGGTCAAACATTTTCCAAACTTTGGATGTTAATTTTCTTTTTCTGCTTCTAACAATTACCGCTTTGGATTTTTTTTTCTCAATAGGACTAGACATTGTCTTCTAATTCTTCATTAGATGAATCCGCTTCTACATTATCCTCTATAGAATTATAGGTAGAATTAGACTCCATTAACTGTGATGAAAATTACAGAACTACATGAGATTCATAAATTTAAATAAAATTATAATATAATCAAATAGATAATAAGAATTCAATAAATCTATAACTAGAGAATTGAGAGCTAAAAACAAAATTAGAAAAGTAGAAAAGGGGAAAATGGAGAATAAGAGAAGGAGAGAGTTAAAAAAATTACAACAAAGTTTTTTACTGCCGCTCACGCTCGTCGTCGCTCACTGCTCCTCGTAGCTCGCACTCGCCGCCAGCTTGCCTCTGCCTTCTTCACATGCACTCCATTCGTCACTGGCTCTTGCTCGCTGCCACCTCCGCTTGCCTCTGCTTGCCTTTGCTCGCTGTTGTTCGTCACCACAAAATCTAAGGTCAGGTAGGGTTTTTATGAGAATCGTTCTCCAACTTTGTGACATCCACATACACTAGTTGGAAACGAGGCAAAATCGCTCTTCAGAAACCCTAGTTGTACAGACAATTATTTGGAGTCTGCACAACCCATTTAGAAGGACAAATTTTCAAAACAGTACAATTTACAAAAATATTCCCACAAAACGACCCATTTTGAAAATAATCGTCAAAACCGACATAGTTTCAACCGTCGGGCTGAAACTAGGTCGGTTTTTGACGAAAAAAAATTATGAAACTTCACGGGACTTGAAGTCCCGTGAAGTTTAGCAGACATTTAACAAAGCTGCTAAACTTTACGAGACTTCAAGTTCCGTCAAATTTCGTAGTTCAAACAAACTTCACGGCACTTCATCTCGTGAAGCATGTTCAAGTCTGGAAAATTAAGCCTGCAGTTCGATGCAGCTGTACTCCCTCTCTCTCCCTCTCTCTCTCTTTCTCTAAAAATAAAAAACCAAGCCCCATACTTGAATGCCTTCTCTCTGCTCCCATTTTGATGGTTGGAAAAGCTCTCCCATTTCCCAATTTGAGGCTTGTCAGGGCCTTTCTCCTGCTCACAGGTCAGTGATCTCTCATTCCTTTGATGGGTTTTTCTTCTTTTGGCAGGAAAGTTGGGTTCTTTGAGGGGTTTTGTGAGATGGGTGTTGGGGATTTGCTGGTATTTTGGGTCATTGTTGTGTAGGAAAAAAAAAGAAAAAAAGAAAAAAGGAAAA